AAAAAAAAAGTCAGCCCCCAGGGAGGATCGAACTCCCGACCCCTGGTTTACAAGACCAGTGCTCTAACCACTGAGCTATGGAGGCTGCAAAGAAGCGGTATTCTCCTCGCGTATATAATTATACGTAAGTGTACTATTGCAGAATTGTATGCTAATACAGCAAAATTAATCAATAAGTGACGGTATGTTAACTGAATACAAATTATTTTTGATATCACAACATAATATTAAGACAACAAGAATGTAGCTGAGAAACGATAAACTTCGGGCAGTGTTCATTTTTATGCCGTACCCATCTACACAATCGATATTACCAAATAAAAATTATAGTTCTGTATTTTGCATTTCTGCATGTTGAATGTTGTGGAAGTGCCATTAGTTGGAAGACACACAACTATTCGTTCCCAAAATACATTTCTGACAACAATTTTAGAAGGCATGTACTTCAGTCTCTTTAGCACGCACACACATCACGAATCGCCCAAGTTCTTGCAAAGTCCAGTTCTACTAATGCTTAATGTACTAAGACAAAATATATTAAATTAGATCAAACTAAATAAATCTAATACATCTTAACCTTCCGCTGAGTTGGAAAAATGAAAGCACTTCAAAATACGGTAAATAATATTTATAGTGACTTCGTTTGTAGAACTGCAGTAATCTAGTGCAACTACGTCAAAATATCACGACGAAATTTCAACAATAATACAACCCTTGGACGTAGTGTTATTATGCTGTTATATTGTTCTTGTTTCGTGTTCTGCCATTTTTTCCGTTCTGTTACGACATGTAAACCGATAAGTAAAAATACACCTATGTATGTTGTCATTCACATTTCCTGATATTCAATATAGACTCGTTTGGCACGTTTTAAAAATTACTTTAGGCATTACGAGATTATTGACGCTAACCTCTAGCAAAACCCTCCCTAGAAAGTTCATTAGACTTGAGCGAATGATGAAGCCAATACTCTTGTTCCTCTATCTATACATCTATTCTGATTACATAACACCAATTTAATTCATTAAATCTCAGAAATATTAATGGATATATTAAAACAGCCACTCCATAGACCTTCTCGCCCATAAAACTTCACTTGGACTGGAGTAATGTGGTAATCTACTCAGCCAATCGCAGAATACCTATGTAAGTCAAATTCAAAGCCATTAAATGGAAAAGTAATAGTACTAAATAAATTGGAAATGTATGTTAAAGTATCACATTTAAAACTATGAAGCCACATGCGTGTGAAATGTTAAGAAAGCAACTATATTAATGATAAGTACCGGTATTATACTAGTGGGATATCTTTACCTTTGTTTTTCGAGATATCGAACGTTGCAATTCCACTTGAGTGGTAATCGATTAACGCCCCAGTCTTTTATTCAGCTCTCCGTCGAGGATAAGCTCAGAGGTCACGCTCGTAGGGTAATGTTACTTATATTATAAAAGTTTTTTCAATTAACTTAAAATATATTCTTGTTAAAGTAACAAACATGTTTCTGGTCTTTAAAATTACTGTTTGTTTTCAAGGTAGTTTGTAAGTATATGTAGCCTACACCACTTTTAAACGAGGAGGTTGTGTGATTTTTCGAGAAACAGTATGAGATTCCTAGAAACAAACGGACCTAGTGACCATAGTCTATCAAAAAGAGGGCTAAAAAATGATTTAAACTGATGTAAAGGGATATTATTAAAAGTCTGACGTGATTATGCAATCCCTGTTTGACCCTTGCCTTATTTGGACATTCATTTAGGTAATACTAGGTTACGCAAAGCACGAGGCCGTGAAGTACTTATAGTGTTACAGCAGTGGTTCTTCATTTCACAGGTTCAGAAGCTCAAAAAGATGGGAGTGCCAGACGGTGATGCAGAAAAGGGGAAGAAGGTAAGACACAGAATAATTGATTTAAATTAATGTAAAGAGTGACAAGTCTAATAATTCAAACATTCTTTATTGCAGGTGTTTGTTCAGAGATGTGCCCAGTGCCATACTGTAGAATCAGGTGGCAAGCACAAGACTGGTCCCAATCTGCATGGCCTAGTTGGCCGAAAAACTGGGCAGTCACCAGGTTTTGCATACACAGATGCCAACAAGGCCAAAGGTATGCAAGGAATTCATTAAGTTTGGGTAAACAGGTGTAATTTGTTAATGATACAGAAAGTTTTGTAAGCAGCACCATGTAAAGTGATGTGAGATCAAAGTGTAGTTCTTAACAAGAATTAGTTTTCTGTGTACATATCTTAAACTTACAGAATTATCAAACATAGTCCTAGAGCCAAGTGTAAAGAATCTGATTGAGTTGCTTGAAGATTGCTGTACCATGATAATTGCTTACAACAGAATTTGTACAAATTTTATTTGAAGAAAAGAAGGCATAGTAGCACAGTGTGTACAACACGTGATGTAATTAATATGTTTAAAAGTGAAGAGGTGTTAAGCGCAATGTATAATGACACACAACATTATTTTTTGCTCGCAGAATATCCTGTATCCTGAAGATGCAAACTATAGAACCTAACTTAATCTCTTATTAAGAACTAATCCAGTAATAGTAACTTTTGTGTAATACTGGCGTCACTTTGTATGAAGATGTGACATGAGACTGAAGTCGGGCAGCCTTTGATGTATGTAGATTGATGAAAATACTAAAAGCTGGTTACTGTATAAAAGTCTAAGCTATTAAAATGGAGGAATGAAGGAACAAACACTGAAAATTCAGGGAACAGAATGAAGTTATCCAACAGAAATACTATCCTTGGCTTAATGACTGAGGCGGACTTATCTGCCGTGATATGTGGTCATAGGTCCTTGAACAGGAAGTCATAGGCCAAAAGATAGCTGACTTTTTCTGTGACTTTATATGCCTAGTTAGGAACTTTTTATTCTGTTCACTAGTTATTCCATGTGCTGGTGACTCTCAATAACGCAATAAAATGAAGATTAAAGTACAACAGTGTTAATTACTTCAGATGAAAAAGGTGAGTTGTGGAATTGGATTACTCATTTCTGTACATATTTCATGTGTAGGTATCACCTGGAATAAGGACACGTTATTCATATACCTGGAGAACCCCAAGAAATACATCCCTGGCACAAAGATGGTGTTTGCTGGCATCAAGAAACCACAGGAACGAGCAGACTTGATTGCATATCTAGAACAGTCAACAAAGTAGATCTCCAATTAGTTATATTTGTAGTGATTCCACCTGGGAGGTGGACTAAATGAGAACTTAGGTGTTTAGATTATAGTGATTTGAAGACTGGTGCATCCTCAAACAACCTTGACATATTAAAAAAACTCTCGTGTACAGTTTTTAACTTATTTGGCTGTTTGTCTGTGCTGGACACTGTTATAGCAGGCTATCATATAATATTTCTTTTGTGTCATGGTATATAAGAATTTGTTTGTTGATATAAAAAATCTACAATAAATACAAACTGAAAAATTAAATGCATTTGTTTATAAGCTTTCTTTGTCTATAAAACCTCATACCTGGACATGAAAAATACTGTAAACTTGCACTCATCACCAGACATTAGGGTGATAAGATTGAGATTGGAAAAGACACGAAGCAACCAATTTCAATCTGAACATTGGGGTTATTAAATATTAATGTACAATAAATAGGGCTGTGAAAGTAAAGTTTTCAGATGTCTACTATGTTTATATGCTTGAGAATAATTGTAAAAATATCATACCATTCATTTTGTTACCTTTCAGTTGCAGCTGGCCATCCCTGAACACCAGTTCACACATTTCCCCATCCCATCTTCTTCAGTATTTACAAAACTCTGCAAATACTGAAAACATGGTTGCATCATCACTGTCTTTAAAACTGAAACTCATTTTGTTTAATTTTGGTATTAGCTGTCATTACTGTGTGCTATTATGTCATCATCAAAACTGCCTTCCACTAAAAATCCA